CAAGATAATTTCTTGCTTTCAGCTCTGAAAAACTTCCAAGATACTTCCAAAAATTTCCAGTAAACAAATCTTCATCTTAAGATTAGCAAAGTTAACAAATATTGACTGGAGGCTTAAGCATAACAATGTTATACAGCACATTTCATAGAAAATTCACAGATGAATATAACAGGCTGTCTTTTTTTTGTTGCAGAAATGTAAGGAAAAAAAATACAGAGTGTGTATAAAAGGACTATAAATCATTGCTGAGAAAAATCAAAGATTTATTATTTTTGTAATTTTAATATACCTACTGGAATTAATAAAAATATAATGCATAGTGCCTGTGGTAAAATGCTATCACTATTCAAGGATCTTATGAGTTTAAAAGCAGACAAAATAGTATATTTATAAAGGAAAAAGTCTTATCTCCACTGCACAGTGGAGAACTGAAAGTGAGGTTTATGCCAATGTTGTAAGGGAAATCTATGGCAAAAATGATCATCTGCTAAGTGATGTCTTAGAGAGCTTTGCAACTGCTTCTTGTAGAGTAGATAGCTGGGTAGGTGCTTCTCTTGATTCAAGTTGATTCTGAACAGCTATTATTTAAGTTATTAATTATCCACTTAATGACTTCTGCAGTGATTGTTTCATAAGCAGTGACAAATCAACTGGATTTCTTAAGAAACTTTTTTTTATTTTTTTTTTCAATAAAATTGCAGGTCAAGCAATATACAATCCATTATTTTGAAAGTCTGTTTCATGTAGACATTCTTATTAAAATTACCTGAAAAGACACTTTGCAGAAAAATAGAATGTTAAGTGACTTAAGTGGCATTTTAATTTAATGGTTAGGGAATTTCCTACCAGACCCTTTTATTTATTACCTAATGTAGCTTGAGTTAAAGCCAGCAAAACATATCAGTCAAATTCCTGATTTGACCAAGTGGCAGAGGACACACATATGATGTATTTAGAATTGGCAAAGGCTTGTCTTGGTGATGAGTGCTGTAAATTACTTTTGATTAAAAAAATCAGCAGAGGAAGTGAAAAATCATTACGACCAGAACAAGAGCAATAAAACATTAATGCTGTGTGTAAAGATTGATGGGTAGTTGAGAAGCTGATTTGTAAAAGTCACCAGTACCACAGGGCATGAGTTTATTAAGAGTATGAAAGAGGCAGAGTGAAAAATGAAGTCATACTTTAATCAACGGAAATGGAAAATAAGCAACTCAATGTTTGTAGGCTTCTTTTGATGCAATTTTAGTTTGAAGTAAGCTACCTCTGCAAACAACTTCCCAAAGAATTTCACCACTTGAAGATGAGCCTCCCCTAACCCTGTTTAGTCTGAGCAGGTAAAGACATAATAATGGGTGGAGAGGGATACGGGGAATGTTGGCACTTGATCTTCTTTCTGATAATTATAATATATACAGAAATGCATGGAAAATGTGTGTTTTCTACTCTGTTTCCTACATAAACTGTCATCTTCATGACCTTATTTGTATTATATGTAGTACCATACACAAAGAAATAAATTGCTCGTCCCTAGTGGGACAAGCTGTGACTCATGCAGACATAGACAAGAGAATTAGAGCTCTAGGTTTGGGAGCTGGTAGCTGGGCTCCTACCTTCATATCTCTTTCTACACAAGCACTCTATGAATTGTGCCGTCTTACTGGCAGTCTGACCACTCTGGTGTAATACAAACTCATAGTAGCTTTATCTGCTCTGGAAAGAAGTAAAAATACCAAATATTTCAGTGAAAGCAATTGTCTAAATCAGTGATTAGTTGACCAGGCCTTCACAGTCCCACAAACAGCTATCATATGTTTGACACTAATTGTATTTGGCATCCTAGCTGAAAAGTCAGACCAGAAAGTCTGAGGATCTCACAGGCATATAACGTCTTCTATTTGGAGAGGTGAGTCACATAGATAAGGAAGTACAGAGATGCTGGTGACTACATGTATTTCTGTGTACTGTTTCCACTGTTGCTCTAGAATAGGAAACTTTCCAGATAAAAGTCCGTGTACAAAATTATACTCTTGTAAGCTGCCAAACCGACAGCCTTCATACCACTGGCAGAGGTAACATGCATTTCTTATTCTATCTAGCCAATATGCCTATATTTAACTCGGATCTAAAAGCACTGAAATACAGTATAAGGAATTGCTCATTTACGGTTACTGCAAGATGCTGAGCTTTTCTGGGAGCTGGTGGGATTTTTTTTAACTCCCACTGGTTTTGTTGAAAATTTGGTATAAATATTTCACAAGAATGCCTGCCATTTTGTGGAGACAAACTGAGCCCTTCACCTTTCCTCTGAGATTTCAAGAAGCACCTCACTACAAGCTCACCAAATGCATTGGTATAATTATCAGAGGTTTCCAGGTATCCAACTGTTTAGTTAACTGCCCTTTCAGTAAACTTATTTATATGCCTCTGTGTTTGCATGATCTGGATTTCCACCGGAAGTGGGGCAGAGTCTAAAAAAAGTCTTTCAGTCACTGAAAGTGGGAAACACCATTTAACCTTGGAAAAGCCTCACATTCAGAAGGTAGTACCCTCTTTGGTCTGACAAATGATCAACTTTTCCTAAAAATGCATGACACTGTCTCTGCTATATATATGATAATTATATACGACTATTTTAGTTCACACTTTAATGCTGTTTACAGTTCAGTATTCCTGTTTTTTTGTTTGTTTGTTTGTTTGTTTTTGTTGTTTTGTATTTTTTTTATGTTTGTTTTTTTTTTTTTTCTGTGATTTTGTTGAGGTGTAGTCATTTCTGTCATTTATTTTTCATGAGCTTTTATATTCATAGCTATAATCAGGTTTTTGCAGCTTGTGGACTATATGCTTGTCTTTCTAAAAAGCGTAGTATTTAAAAAATGAAATGCATGGTAGATGTCTTAACTTTAAATGAAGAATAATGTAACCACATTTTTCAGACATACAGGGAACAAAATGAGACTTGAGGAGAAGAGGGTACAGTATTTTTCTTCACTAGGGCCACTCTTATGGGCTATAATGTGAAGAAAGATAAGGAACAAATTAATGTTAGCTTTCCAGAAATTGTCTTTCTGTGTGAGCAGTTATTGAAACTTTAGTACCGCAGACAAAACTCCTGCCACTGGAGTAAAAAGTTTTCGAACAGCAGTTTCTAAACAGCAGTGAAATGAATAAGGAGCTAATCTGGATCAATACAGTGTTTTTGTGTAACGGCGGTATTAATACACAGCACTTCTGTGTTTCTTATAACACCTGGGTGCTACAGAAGTCATGGCATACCTGCTATTCCCTGGGCATTAGCAATATCGAATGTCTTGTTACAAAGCAGACTCGGGTAGAACAACAGTGCAATATATGGCCCCTGCTGAAACCATGGTGAACTCCTCTGTCTGTGTGATTAATGGGGTGAGCCCCTTCCAGGAGACAAATAGCGGTAACAAGAGCTTTGCAGAGCTTGTGGAACGTGGCTGGTTTAGCATTGCACTACGGGGCAAAAAGACTAAGAATTTGTGTAGCTGCTTGTTTTTCTGGGGAAGCATCAATAAAAAATGCTGGGTGATTGAACAGGAGATCTGATACGTGTGCTTTTTTCATGAACAGAACTACAGCCAGATCCACCAAGAAGACAGATCCACCAAGTCCAGCCTTGTCAAGCTCTTTGTAGAGGAATGTGATAAATTTTCTGTATAAAGGATGAATCACTCAGATTTCAGTTAAACATCTTAATCATAATGATTAAAAAAAATTTGCCTGGTCAACTATGAGGAGGGCAGACATAACTTTGCAAATGGTCTGTGTCTCAAATGATATTTACAAATTAATTTTTTGAAATTCTGAACCTAGAGATGACTGTTCAGCAACAGATTACCCTACAAACTGATCCTGCCATACAAATATGAAAAAATGTTTAATCTGTTTTAATCTGATCTTTGTCCAGGGATACTGAGATTCTTTCTCCAAAGAATTCCATGGGAAAAAAATTACTTAGCTACTTTTGGCCCTTTCAAAAGCTGTTTTATTATGATGGTAGAGAGCACTGCCAAATATTGTTAGTATTGATAGATACCTGAAGTTCCCTTTCATTGTAACACAAGTGTTCAGGGGACAAGGTGTATTTGTCCCATTCTTCTCCAGGCTGAACCGTAAATTCTCTTTCTGAACACCTAGCTGTTGTCACAACCAAAGTTCTTCAACTCTCATGTCCTGAGTCATAGGTGAAATGCTGGTTTTATTAGCAGGTTTCTCTGGACATGTGGTGTTTGAATAGTGTTTCTATGGCTTCAAGGAGACTATTTAGTCTTGGACTCTTTTAAAATAGCAGATATACTTGGCTGCATTTTGGTATCATATTGTCATCTCAGTTTCTGAATCATTCCCTAGAACACTGTAGAGATAATGAGCTCTCTATGAGGCTGTCAGTTTGGGTATGTGCAGAATGTGGCTTCTAAAACAACCATTTCACTTACCTGCCAGGATGCTGCTAGGGCAACCCAAGCTAGTGTCTAGGGCTTGGCATTTTTAATGTTGTTGGTAAGGGAGCATCTATTCATATAGGGCAGTGCGATTTTTTTTTCATCTTTACCTCTAATACTTGCTCTCTTCTGTATTATACCTTTTAGCCCTGTAGGAACAGATCTGTAATTTTTGGCAAATTGTTTTGTTGGTAGTTTGTATACTAATTAAAAAGAAGCTTGAGCAAAATGGAGCTGAGCTTCCTTTGGTTCCTATCTATTAAACTGGTATTTTCCAGCACATTTTTAATAGCTTTTGTAAATCTCACTGTTTTTCTGAAAAACCTCTTTTGAGAGCCACTGTTGTGACAATTTTTTTTTGTAGGTGTGGGGTTTGCTTGTTGTTTTTCTTTCTGACCCTCCTTTTCTTCACTGTTATGCATTTTTCCCCTTCCTCACACATTACTTTAGTCTGTTCTGGTTCTTTTTCTTCTGTTTGACCTTCAGTGTCATAAACTATTCCCATTAAAGGAGTTTCTGTTTACATCTCAGAAATGGGTGACAAGCATGAACACAGGAGTGCTGGCTGTACTTCATGTACTTCAGTGTCTTCAGGAGTCCGTGAAAGGCAAGACCTGCCTCAGACTGACCCCAGCGATCTCTCCTACTCTTCTTCTTGACTGAAGAGCATTTCTGTGACTTAAAGAAACAGGTCTGATGAGAGCAAGCAGAGTTATTGTATTTTATCTATTTCAGGGGGTGGGTGACGGGGTTATGCCTTTAACCTAAAGTTAGAGTTAAAGATCTCTTGCTTGGTTACAGATTTCCTGTTTTCTGCCTTACAGAGGTCGCAGTCTTTTCTGCCTGGAAAGAGAAGCTAATCTGTGGAAGAGGAATGAAGTTGGAAAGCCTAACTCATCAATGACAGCAAAAATGCAAAAATGCTTTAATATCTGGACAGTAATGCTGGATATATGTTGTTTCTGTGGTACTTCATTGTGACAGTACAGGAATTTTGATCCATTCCTAAAGGATGCCGTGCAATTTTTGTGCCGTCTTTTACTAATAGACATTGTGATAACAGAAGTGTATAGTTGCTTTTTTTTTTTTTTTTTTTTTTTTTCTGAATGAGAGAGAAAAAATGTCCCTCCAGAAATCCTGCAGAAGGCCTGTGTAATTTTGATGTCTTTTAAGTTTTGGTTTGAAAACTTCTGGCCCTTTACACAGTAATTACTTTCATTGAGGAAGTGCACACATTCTGCTACTCGCTAATTACTGATAAGGAAAATGCAGGAAAGCTCAGTGATGAAACATGTCTCATGTGCTTGTCTTTCTTTTACCAAGCCAAATTCTGCAGAGCTGGCAGCAGTTGCAAAGAGTGCCTTCTGAAATCATTCCCCCCTCCCTGTGACTTGAAATTTCCTTCTCTTCTTTCCATCAAAAATAAAACGGTAGCAGCTCGTGTCTTGTCAAAACGGGCTTCGCATGCTACATGCCCTGTGTGGCAGGCAGGTAGTTAGGCAAGAAGCCAAGCAGATGAGGAAGAAAAAGGGAAAATTTCCTCATTTCGTTAACTTTGCTACTCACTATGAAGGAACAGATGCTGTTATAAATATGAGGAAAGGGAGGGAGCAACAGCTTGGCTGGATTACGGATTTGGACCCTAGACATCCAGTTTGTCATCTTAATTCAGATAACCAGGATTGCCAACTCTTCAGTCACATACTTGGCAGTGAGAAAGTGAGTGAGAGAAATCCCAGCAGACTTCCTGCTTTCTAGATGTCTCTAGCTCTTGAGATAATGCTGTTAAGTTTGTAAATGAGATGGGCTAAACCTTAACTAGATGGATAAATCCTAAATACATTAAAAAAATAAAAATAAATCAGTTTTGTGACTCAGATTTTTTAAATATCTAAGAGTAGCAATATTGACTATTAAGGGGTAAACTCATACATTTTTTTCAGAATGCTTCATCTGAGATGATAAAAATGTTTTGTTATATCCAGTACAATGTCTAAGTGTTGGGTTTTTTTTGTTTGTTTTATTTAGAAAATGTATTCTGATATAACCTGGGGTTATTGAAAATAGCACCAATTCCCCTAACTTTATTTGGTATTACTTTAGATTTACTTTAATAAAAGTGGGACCAAAATTAGATTTTTCTTGCTGTATGTAAAAGCAACAAGCCTGAGAATATTAAAAAAATAAATAAATAATCTAAGCAGCCTTAATATTCACAGAGCAGTGGCCAAGTGTGGAGAGTTTTGCCTGGAGTTTATAAGGTTTTAGAATTTTAAAGAAATTGTAAGGATGGGGATAGAAGGATAAAAAAAAAAAAGGATATAAAGAAGGATAAATTGCCTTCTGAGGAATGAAACAGTAATTATGCCCTCTTGGGCAGCAATAGCAGAAATTGAAATAATTTTACTTTGACAGAAATTTTACAATGACAGAAATTGAATAATTTTACTGTGCTTTGATTCAACATTAACACAGGTAGTCTTTTGGCTACTCTGAGGTCATTTTCCTGTAAGGTTCTTGACTTCTGCTTGGTATTGTTAGCTAGAAACAGCTCTCTTTTTGTCTGGTATGGCTTCTGTGGTGTCTGTATCAGGGATGAATAGATTAAGTCTTTCTAATTTGAAGCCTCTGTTTGAAGAATGACAAAAAGAACAACCACCTGATACAGAGATGTCACTTTGCTAATCAAAGCTTTTCATATTTTATAAGCCATACTTAAAACTAATATTTGTGTGAAGAAATAACTTATATCTAGGTAATAAATTGGTTTTTGTATCAGTTTTGGGAAGAAAACTAACAAGGTTTTTAAATCTGAAAATAATAATTTGGGAATTTAAGAAAATGTGCAATATTACAGGAATCATTGAAAAATACTTTGTTGTTACAAGTCTAACACAAACTTTTTATGATGACTCATGAACAAGTGTCTCATCTATCTTAGCATAAAAAGTAGTCTGATTTTGCATATTATCAGATTTTATTTTTTTTTGGTTGTTTAGGATAGCCATGTATTTCAAACTTTCCCAGAAGACTGCTTGATTCTAGTATCAGACCTCCTTCCTATGTCAGACCTCTTCAAGTTACCCCTCAGGATGATGGCCTTCCTTTCCCTGAGGTGATAGGTGTAAACCACTGAATGATTTTCACACGTCATATGTGAGAAGAAAACTTACTGAATAATACAGTAAGATGCATCTTTATCTAATCCATCATGTTCCCTGAGAATGACTTTTCTAAAAAATGCTTTTTTTTTTTTTTTTTTTTTTTAAATTGCAGTGGTGCCTTTTTTAATAGCAATAGCATTTGCAAACTCCAAGGCCATCTACATTGCCTCTAGACTTTCAGAAATGTTTTTTTTGCCATGCTTATCTTATTATATTGTGTCATAGTTTCCACAGTCATGTGTAAACAAACTTCTTTCCTCTTTCTACCAGCCTGTTAGGTACTGAATAGGTATTCTTATTGTGTCTGTCTCTCCTTACAATTACCTCTTCTTTGAGCTAGCCATTTCTTGTTTCTTCCAACTTTCCCCACAGGACTTGCCACCCTTGTTCATTTTCTTGTCTGGAGTCTTTCCAGTTGGCCTATCTCTCTCCTGAGATGTACACACAACTGGAAACAAGCCTTACCTGTGGCACTGTGAACCACAGTTTCCCACAGACTGGAAGAAATTCCTTTGGGAGTTGCTTGTACATCTCCTTACAGTGTGTACTTTCTTTTCTAATAGTCATGGTTTGTTTTCATCTTGCAATCCACAAAGACCTCCAAATAATTTCCTGAAAAGCTTTCACATAATGAGTTGACTTTGTTTCTATGCACTTGATTTGTTTATGTTTATGTACATCACATTATAGTTGCCCCCACTGAATTTCACTGTGTTGTTTTAGAACAGATTTATGAAGAAAGTTTTGAATTCTAATCCTGGTCTTTAGTTTACTGTAGTTTATACCCATTTGGGATCATTTTAAAACCATATGTTGTTTAATACATCATCTAGGTTACTGTGACTACACAGCATTGAACGCGGGACCATTTGGCCAGTCAATGACTAACAAGTCTCTGTAGTATTTAATTCTCTGTAATATTTTATTCAACTAACTTTATCTATTGCTTTAATTTCAACTGAGAGAATTTTCATCTAGCTTGTAGTTTTTTGATTTTCTTTTCAATTATGAGAACCAGTGTTTGGGGCCTTACTGTGGTCAAAATGCACTTCCTATTTTTATTTTATTTTATTTATTTATTTATTTATTTATTATTTTATTTTATTTATTTATTTTATTTTATTTATTTTATTTTATTTTATTTTATTTTATTTATTTTATTTTATTTTATTTTATTTTATTTCCTTTGTCTTTAGAAGGGCATTAGGTTGGCTTCACCAAACTTCAGTGGTTGCTAACCTATTCAAACAACTGTAGACTTAAACATTATTAACTTATACATTCTATGCAGTTTTGTAGAAGAAATACGGATTTGTTACACTGTTCTATGCTGGGTGTCAAGAAGACTAATAATATATAGAAAAAAAATTAAGAAAGCCTGGTAGCCTCTATAAACCATTCATAATATCATTAATACCCAAAGACCAAACAAGGAGGACTATTCCTGGTTGAACTATGGTGTAGTCAGATGTGTTCATTAATAATATAAAACACCTGGATCATTGTCTTTAACTGGTCTTAAGAATGTTTAATAGAAGCAATGAGAAATAATAGGAATTGCAAACAAGATACTTCCAGGAAGCTGAAAGGAGGTTTTTCATAACTGCATAATATCCAGGAGCCACAGATTTAAACTGTGGTGAAACAATCCCATATTTATTAAGTGGATTCTGTTGCCAAGATTGGACTATAGCAGTGTTTTGTTACAGTGTGATGCGAGAGGGAAAAGCTCTCGCTGCATATTTTGAAATTATGTTCATATGGCTTATTAATTCTAAGAAAAAGAATATGAAGTGCAGCTGAACAAATGCTCAGAAAAAAAAAAAAAAAGTGGAATAGCCAATCATCCCTGAAGAAGATGGGTAAAATATGAATATAGTGCAACTGTGCAGTGCTTTGCCATAGAAAATCTTAATTTAATTATCAACAGGTTTTCAAAAACACTTCATAGTATTTTGAAGCTCCTCCAGTTCTCAGAACAGGTAGTGTTTTTCTGAATTCCAGTGGAAGTGACTTGCTTAAAGAAAACTTAAACTGCCTAAAGGGGTCTTACAGAAAAGCTGGGGAGGAACTCTTCATCAGGGACTGTAGTGTGTAGATTTAGATCAGATTTAAGGAAGAAATTCTTTACCATGAGGGTGGTGACGCATCAGAACAGGGCAGTGAAGCTGTGGATGCCCCATCCCTGTAGGTGCTCAAGGCAAGGTCGTATGAGGCTCTGAGCAACCTGATCTTGTGGGAGGTATCCTTGCCCATGGCAGGGGGGTTGGATTAGATGTTTTTTAACATCCCTTCCAACCCAAACTATTCTGTCATTCTATGATATCAAAACTTTTATTAAAAAAAAAAAAAGAAATTGGCATGAAAAACAAGATCATGGAATGCTAGGTCTACTAGTTTTTGAGTGGGTTTTTATAATACTCAAATGTTCGGCTAAACCTAAATATTGTGTTGGATTAACAGTGCAAAGACCAAACCGTGGAGAGACGTATAGCAAACAGATGATATATACAGAATGATTAAAGAGAAGGTAATGTGGTATTGATCACAGTCCAGTAAATCTAACTCAATCTTCCTTAAAGGCATAAATATTAGGGGAATAAAAATCTATTAGTGTATAAGGGTAATAGACCAAGGAGCAATCAGTAGCATGAGATGATGATGGAGGAAAAATCATGTCACACAAATTTGATTAATATTTTGGAGATTGAATTACAGATGGCTGCAATGAAACAGATGTAATTTGTATGGCTGTCAGATCCTGCTCCTATTTATACAGATGAAAATCCCAACTGACTCTGTTGACATCCATTGAATTTTTGTTGATTGAACTCAGAGACCAGGGAACACATCTCTGGCCTTCACTGAAACAATGTTTTCATTGTAAATGTTCATTCAAACATGATTATGTGTATTGGCATAGTTGGGTAAACTTATACCTCATAGAAAAAGGATAAATGTATAAATTTGTGGTACTGGAGGAAGTGGGAAGGTAAACTGTGGAAGGTAAGCTGTGGATCACACAAGCTTGTGATTTGGAAACAAGATCATCTAAACGAGAAGTTCCCAAAATATAGCATGTTTACTGAGAGGATGTTGATAAATATGTTCATAGAACCACACAGAATTGTCTAGGTTGGAAGAGACCTCAAGATGATAGAGTCCAACCTCTGAGCTAACACTAACAAGTCCTCCACTAAACTGTATCACTAAGTTCAACATCTAAACGTCTTTTAAAGACCTCCAGGGATGGTGACTCCACCACTTCCCTGGGCAGCCCGTTCCAATGCCTCACAACCCTCTCAGTAAAGAAGGTTTTCCTAACATCCAACCTAAAACAACCCTGGGCACAACTTTAGCCCATTCACCCTCGTCCTGTCACAAGGCACATGGGAGAATAGACCAACCCCCACCTCGCTACAGCCTCCCTTAATGTACTTATAAAGAGTGATAAGGTCGCCCCTGAGCCTCCTTTTCTCCAGGCTGAAGAAACCCAACTCCCTCAGCCGCTCCTCATAAGATTTGTTCTCCAGACCCCTCACCAGCTTTGTTGCCCTTCTCTGGACTCATTCGAGCACCTCCATGTCCTTCTTGTAGCAAGGGGCCCAAAACTGAACACACTACTCGAGGTGTGGCCTCACCAGAGCCGAGTACAGGGGGACAATCACTTCCCTAGCCTGCTGGCCACACTGCTTCTTATACAAATCAGGATGCTGTTGGCCTTCTTGAGCACACTGCTGGCTCATATTCAGCCGACTACCAACCATCACTCCCAGGTCCTTCTCTGCCAGGCAGCTTTCCAACCACTCATCTCCCAGCCTGTAGCTCTGCTTGGGGTTATTGCGCCCCAGGTGCAGGACCCGGCACTTGGCCTTGTTGAACTTCATACAGTTGACCTCGGCACATCGGTCCAGCCTGTCCAAATCCTCCTGCAGAGCCTTCCTGCCCTTAAGCAGATAGACACACACACATAACTTGGTGTCATCTGCAAACTTACTGAGGGTGCGCTCGATCCCCTCATCCAGATCATCGATAAAGATATTAAATGTTGTAATATGTATATATATTTTATACTGTAATATTTATATAGAATATATTTATGCTGCAGGGAGTGGTCTTTAAGAATGCCTTTTCCTCAAAATATTCCCTAGTTTTGAAGAAAGCCTGACAGGAGACCCCAGAACAGGGCTGGAGGATGACTGGGAACAGCTCCCAGCCCCCCTCCCTGCAATAGCCTGTTCGGTAACGGAGATACATCCTGAATAATGGGATAGTCTAAGACAATTTACTGAGTGCACTTGTACTGTGCTCACAGTGTCCAAAATGTTTCTTTTTTGCAATGGAATTAAGATCTCCTAGACAATGTCTAAGCTGATGATAAAGTGTGTACTCAAATTATGAAGGTTATTAAGCTATGAGGTAGTGACAGTACAGTAATATTGTAGAAACTGATCTGATTAAAGTAGAAATATGGGTAAAAAAGTTGCCTTGGATAAAAGTTATTTTTTAAGTCTAGGAAATATTAGGATTATTTTTAAGCAGTCCTCTGATACTGGTTTGGATAATGCTGCATTTCAGATTCCTTACAGCAAATTCAAGTGTAATGTGTGAGAGAGCCCTGAGCAATGTCCTTAAGCAACGTCCTGGCTCACTGACCTCTGCTACTGCAGCCAGCTGTGGCATACACTTCTCTCTCTAAAATGGCAGCACAAGTGCTGATAAGATTCAAAGTTGTGAAGTTAGTACAGAGAGATAGAATAATTGGAATTTAATAGGATCTGCAGCACAGGGATACTATTTTGAAGTATACTCAGTGTGCCAAATACTGAGGAAAAGACAGTAGGACAGGAGAGCATCTATCTGTCGCTGTATAGCTGGAAGGAATTATTTGATTGCTGTGTTACTGTTTACCCTGAGAATATTGCTAATTTGATGTTTACACATCAAGAGGTAAAAGCTTGATACAAAGCAATTAAAGTGGCAGGAGTCCTTTTCTTAGTCATCTCTGCTGTACCCTAGATGTTTTTTTCTCAGTCAGGCACTTGAATTTTCACAACATAGCATGATTAGACAAGCAAAGGCTTAACACGATAACTCAGAGGGCTATGCAGTCTTTGTTTCTCACTGCTGGATACTTGGGATAAGTATTGAGCATACAGACCTACAGAAATGCCAGCTCTGAGAAGAAACAAACATATGCTGTGGGTGAAGGAAATGGCACGCTAATGAGGCTTTTGTCAGATGCCTTTCTCTGCTTGTCGTGTAGCTCCATTTTTCTCACTTGCTATTTAGCCTATAAGCCTCGGGGAAACAGATTGTCTCAATCTAAGTTTGTGCAGTGCCTTGCTGAGCATGGGAGCCTTATTTCATAGAGTATTTGCTTTATTTATCACTTAAATATAGGAGGATTTGCCTTCTGTGCAGCTTTTCTTCTCTTTCCTGGTCTCCAGCAATAGCACAAGCCTATGCAGACAGAGGGTTAGCTTTCTGCCACAGCAGAGGGAATCCTAAAGGAAAACTCCTCTGAACATCCAGCAATAGCAATATCTATCCAAGCCATGGGGGACCACAGTGTGTGTTATCTACATACTTTATAGCTGAATGTAGTAGTGAATGCCGTAAAAAACCTACACACAGTATGTTCAGGAGTTCACTATTTTCATCATTGGTGAAGAAAAGCATTTAATGAACAAATAAAGACAAGGAGGATATGCCATGTTCCAGTACCCAGCTTGAGATGTAGTGCATTATCTGCAGGAGGCAGCAAGGATGAATATCCACGCCCCAGTCAGCTCTGGCAATGGATTTGTTTCAGTGCCCAGTCCCTGCTTTGAGGACACTATCTGATGAACAGGTATGGGAATGCTGTATTAGCAAGTTCTGCCTTACTGCTTCTCTAGTTCAGCTTCTCCTTTCCTTTCCTTTCTCCCATCTGAAGGGTGCTTATGGCAAAGGCTCTGCTGTCTATCAGTGCCATCCTGGGATGAGCCCCTTTAAACGTTGCTATCTTCTTCCCAAAAGAAGAAAATAGTTTTTCAGAATTGTTCAGCCTGTTCCTGTGCAGCCTGACTGTATGTGGCTTCCTCCAGCTTGATGTGGCTGCTCACAAGCATTCCTTGATATCTGTTTCTCCACCACTGTTATGTCTCTCATGAATGAGTCCTTAAATGTCCTTTTGAAATGAATTATAGAGTTTTGCCACTGTTTGACCATTCAGAGGGTAAGGAGATGAGATGGTGCATCACAGAGAACAGTTATTTCCAGAAATTTTTACTTATAGAGTAAGACACAGTCTCTGTGAGCATAGCTCTGAATTATAACCCTTACAAGAAAAAAAGGACATCTGTTCAGGCCATTAACATTAACTTCACGGAAAAAACTTCCAACAAGAGACTACAATGCTTTCTTGAATAAATTGATGTTATGGGGTTTTAATGGATGTCTGAAATAGATGTGAGAATTAAAGAGAATATAATAACTAGGTTTTCTGTTAAGCTTTACTTTCATTGATATAAAATTCCGTCTTTTAAATGACTGCATAAAAGTAAACTGTATTTTTCAAGCTAGCTTTAATGATCTATATCAGCTGTATTGTGTTGCAGAAGGAAAGCTATAAGTATTACTTTAGCTGATGGGTAAAGGTATCATCTGTCAGCTCTGAGAGATGAATACATTCAGCTGGATTAAACAATCACTTGGAAGACTAGGGCAGGGAAGTGTTAGATGGGGCCAAGAGATTTTAGGGCTTGTTGCATATCAGCCCCATCCTATTACAAATTAACCTAGAATTAAGTCTGTGCTGAGTGGTTGTGATCTCCAAAGACCATGCAGGCTGAGATTATGAGATTGTATTTACCTCCTGCCCCTAGCTCATGCCTGGTAAACTCTGAACTGCATCTAAAGGAGAGGGAAACAGGTATAAAGGATTTGGCTGCTCCCATTTTGGGTTTTCTGGGGCAGGTGTTGGGTCATTGGTCTTTGCTTCTTCCTTCTGGAGCAAAGCTTGTTAATTTAGACCCCCCTATTTTTATTGCTATATTATTCTAGAGCTTCAATATGTTATAGCAGCTTCAGTTCAAGACATTGGTGAGTACTTATTTTCTAAATACTTTCATTAAGAACCAGAAAGAGCTTGTCATCTTGATTTCAGTAGAATTGGAAATATTCTCAAAAAATTCATTTTTGTGTCTCTTTGGGTTGACCTCATTATAGTCTTCTTCATGTAGACTTTCATTAGGCCACCTGATGAAGTTTATAATTTTAAGAACTTATTAGTTCGCCTGTATGTGTGTATGTAAACACATTATTTTTTGGGGGGGAGAGGGGAAAAAAGAATTTATAGGCTTTTTTTTTTTTTTTTTTTTCTAATTTAGTGGGTGATTCTGAAGTTGGTTTACTTGGCCCTGAACAAAAGATCTCTGTTTGGGTGGTTTACATGGTATAATTGCTGTAGCTAATCATGTCCCTAGACTCTCAATTTCAGAAATGAACACTTATGTCAATGTAAGTAGTTGCCATGGAAATCCTCACAGCATGAACCTCCTCAGTGAAGACCTTATGGCAGATAACACAAACTATGTCTATGATTTCCCTAAACACATCAGACACCAAAGTGAAAGTTTTTTTGCATGCCTTTAAAACATGTGTGCAAAAACAAGTATTTGTCTGTTCTAGCATACTTTTCCTAACCTTACTTCTTCAAGTCAGATAAAGTGAAGGTCACATTCTAACAGCATGTATTCATTTGAAGAAACAATACAAGGAATTGAAGAAATCTCTTTCAGTTGCTAGTGCCCTAAAATATTTTCAGGTGAATTTTTTCTATCCATTCATTCATCCATCCATCTAAAGACTTCTATATATTGAGCTTTTAAAAATACAAGCATGGGAAGCACTGTTGGCAATTGAATGCCTCCTTCCTTCCTTTTCTTCTCACTGATCTACAGTGCTCTCTTCTGTGTAGATCTAGATGTTAACATTTCAGTCATCTAGAGGGTGTTTCTTTTCAACAGGATGCAGCTGCCAATTTCTGGTTTTATAGCATTTCTGGAAAGCCAAATTCAGCTGTAACAAGAGTTACAAAGCTTCCAAAAGAATTGTTCTATTATCTTGAATAAGGTGCACTATTAGGGTGAAATTATAACCTGCAGAAGATTAGAAGTAGTGGTGTGTACCTGTTGTTAAGCAGCCTTCGTGTGCCGATGCAGTTCCACCTTGTGTCATGCTGTGGCTGTAATATCTACCTGGAAAGAGAGCCCAGTTGTAGTGCCATGAGATGAGGGTAATTCCATTAGCTACATATTGATACAAAAACAAGGGAGAATGGCATTTGTCCCAACACAGAGACATGAGGAAATGAATAAAATAGTTTCAATGCAAAATGTCAAGAACTAGATATGGAAAATAACAGTTTAATGACAGAATGCACAAGCTGCATAAGTTAATCTGTAAAACAGCTTTTTCAGATATATCCAACTGTTTCTGTGTGTCTTAAATTAAGCAAGAAGAATATTATTACCTTTTACAAAAAGTTTTTGTTGTTGTTGTTGTTCTGCAGGGAAAGAAACTTTAAGATGACCATTCACGTGATCATACAATCTGTATTTATCTCTGTCCTGCTCCCACTGGACTGATGTTGATGTTATAGAAATACCATTCATGACTTAACATGGTGCCAGCTGTAGCGAAGGCCAATTCCAAGCAGAGGTGGAGATGTCAGTAATGGTGGGTTTAAGCACACAGACGAGCAAGAGTAGAGAAGTTCACTTTGACACTTAACAGCTGCCCCCATAGTAGATAAAAGGAGTGCTTCATTCCCCAGAGCTTTCAGTCTGTCTCTCCATTCACTATATTCTTTTAAAATTGAGTCTGTTTAGCTTCCACTGCCAGACACTCTGGCACAGTTCCTCAGGCACTTAAATATCATTGCGGATTTGGGCTTCCGAGCCTACATCTTATTTCCCTCTGAGGGGGAGGAAGCTTTGCAAGTAGAGTTAATTTTGCTTTAGAGGAAATAAATGCCATGAAACCTTTCTATTAGATTAAAACTGATAATAAAAAACAACCTCTGGCCCTCCATGAGGTATGTCTGTGATTTGCAAAGGCCCAATTGGCTGGGTTGCTGTGGAAAGGCTTGTTTAGGTGAGCATCTCATGTGGTTGGCTTCTAGTGAAGACCAGGATAGTTCTTTCCTCCTGTATGATCTCCTTCTTTTTCTGTCCTCCAGCAGCATGTATGGAGTGCATCCAACCCACAGAGAGCACAGATGTAGCTACTCCATAAAAGCTTCTGAAACATCCCGTGTCTGACATAAATAAAAATGACCTTTAGTATCAATCTGTATCTGGCTGACAATAATTGGCTAGTCGTTTTATAAAATGACAAGCACACGCATTATGCCTGGCACAAACTTCACCAGTATGGGCAAGATGAGATTTCAGGATTCTTTACTGCACGAAGATACTCAGAAGGCATATATGTGTGTTTGTATATATGTGTCTGTATATGTGTGTACACATACACGCATGTATATAGTCTATAAAGATATGCAATAGTATTTTGCACACAGAAAATCAACACATTATAGTGTAGCAGCCTGATTCTGTTAACATGCTAGCATAAATCAAGTCAGCTGCACCTTAATCGGCAAAGATGTAAGTAGAGGCAAATTGCTTTCAATGAAGAATTGGGTGTAGATTGCCTGGTTTATCTAGAAGATGGAAGAAATAGCCTTAGACAGTTTAATATTGTAATTTGTCTTGGAAATAGAAACCAGAGAGTTGGCTAATTTTTGTTTTAAACTCTAGGTCTGATGGGATAAGGCTGTCTGATTCTAATGCTAGCATATAATTTCCTGTCTTGATTTAAAAATACAGCTAATCTAGTAGATTTTTGGATTAAATAAAATCTTGCCACTGCAGTGTGTGTGATATTTCTGGAAATCACTATGATTTACTGAGTGAACTCTAGTAGCTGAAAATATTTTATGAATATTAAAAATATGTTCTAGAGAGATACATATGTTTTCTCTGAAATGTCTATGGCAGTTTCATTTCCTGTGGTTTCATATTTATTAAATGTCATTGTTTCTTCTTGGAGCGTGTGATCTGTGCTCTCTAAACCAGAAGAACGTCTGGAAGGGACTCATTCAATTTTCTTGCTTTATGTCCTGTGTCTTTCCACTACATAAAAGAACTTTGAATCAATGCTTTCTGCATCATTCAGCGTTTTTAATTATCTAAACTTTCAACATCAGTTACTCTCTTATGTCACACTGCAGGTTCATGGTTGTTTTTCTGTTGGGGTTCTTGATTACAGATGATAGCTAATGCTGGCCAGTTTATGACTCCTACAGGTCTCACCAGGTGTTAGCAAGTTCTCATTTTCTCTGCTTCCACTTCAATGCCATGGATGAAGAGAGATAGTGGTCCTGAAATGAGCTTGCATGGGTTTTGCATAACATTCAGGTACGTGTGCTTGTCCTTTTTAATGTGTCTTTCAGACTTCACAGTGTCATACAAAAGGCAGAGTTTTCAAGCTTTTACTTAGTTTCATTCAGTATTTTCCATTCTTCTTCTTCTGAAGAGAATAACAGGATATTATGCAGTACAGGGCCTGATGCATTTGATGTTTGTCTGTCATTCACTAATAAAGCACATAGGGTATGAACCATGTGGGTTGTTAGTCACCAGTATCAAGAAGCAATCGGTAACTGTTAACATTTTTCTCAGATTGATGTAAACAAAGCTGATCTATTTGTGGTCTGACAATCTGCTGATTATTTTTCCCAAGTCAAAATGTGTTGTTTACCTTCATTTTGTAATGTATGCCAAGATTCTAACAGGCAGCTCAGATCACAAATGTGTTCAGGCAAATAATTGTCACTGAAACAATGGTTTTGTAATGATATGTACTTTCTGTCAGTGCTAGCTTTTATTTTATAGAGTAATGTTTTCTGTAACTCCATTTGGGGAGTAGGAATTATTCTCTAGTTCACTAGCAATATTGGGGTATGAGCAAGCCTGTGTGGCTCAATATATTTCACCACAGTAGCACAGAGCTTTACAGTGCAGGCATGGAGATGCCCCTAACAGTGTGGCCTGTGATGTGGATGTTCCTGCAAGACAGCCAAGATGAGTGTTTGCCTTTCCACCTCTGCACAGAGATGGGAGCTGTCTCTGGGGTGGCTTCTTGGGACATTGCCCTTTTCCTGAGACTTTTGGGTAAAATGAGGTTATAGATCTCTGGCTGTGATTTGCAAGAAGAGAATGAGCTTGGCTCAGATCTTGAAAAAAGTAGAAACCAAGCCCTGTGCGTTTTCAGTGGAGGTGGCTGCATCCTCAGAGCAAAGTATGGCAGGGTGGCATTTAAATGTTTGTAGAACCCAAATAATTTTGCCCTGACTTCAGCCTAATTTATCTCCCAAACTAGGGACATAAGATTTTATTTAACTATGTAATGGTCATATATGTACACCTGTTGAGTAGCTCTTCAAAAATATAAAGTGGTGTTCAGATCTTTGAGCATGTGGTTCTGATGTAACTTAATTGAATTACCTGGGCAAAGATCTGGGTATATTTAACCTAAAGTAACATCAATTTGGAAGGAGTTGTATGCAATTCACAGATCTCCGAACAGGAGAGCTGTCTGCAGAAGTGAATCTAATGCATGCATTTGGGTTTGATTTACCTAACAGCAGGGTTTATTTCTGCTAAGGTGCTGAACAGGAACTGTTGGGTATACATGTATGTTGATTTAATGTATGTTTTCCCCCTAGCTTTCAAGCATTAATAAAAAATTCAGTAATGCTAAAAGGGAGAGTTCTTATGCACTTCCACAGTTTCTGGACAATCGCTGATATCACTGGCTGTATCCACCATAAGATTGTTTTGTGTCAGATAGTGCTGGCACTTGTGGGTTGAGATATTTACTCTGAGCTGCAGGCTGTATATTAACTTTGTCTTCTTCATTATTACTTTAAAATCAACTGTTTTAATTGGGGTCCAACCAGCTGTTATTCTGCATAGTTCGATGCTGAAGAATAGCTCTACAACCATGTGTGTCTTCAATCAGAAACAGACCAGGAGGTGATGACCTTTATTAGACTTACATGTTCATTAAAGTGCACTCTGAATCATTTACTGAAAATAAAATAAAAATAAAAAGAATCCCCAACTCACTGAAATCTGCATCGTAAACACTGTTTTTGTAGGAATTTGTAAAACAAACAACAACAAAAAGCTTTTTTTCTTCCTTATATGCGATGATGGTGGGAGTGTTGTTTTATGTGCATCTGTTCTATAACATAAATGTGGTTCAAGATCTGAAATCAGAGTACCGTGAATGCTTTTTACACCAGAATGAAAGTATTATCTTCATAAAATTAGAGAAGATTGGTTTACAAGCATGAATAAATGTTGTGTGGCTTTGAGGAAAAAGTTTACTACAACACACGTGATCAGTTAACTGATGTATCTAGTCTGGTTTTCTGCCTCTGGTAGTTTGTTACTTCAATGAAACAAACAGGATCTAAAAATAAAGCAAGCGTGGAGGAAGGAGAGTTCATCACTTGACTTGTGCAAGCTGTCAATTTATTCATTGCAACATGAAACGTAGTTGGCATCTGATCATTATTGTGCCTTAACTGTTCTGCTAATTTTAAAAACAATGGGACAGTCTTGAGCTCTGCTGTTGATTTCTGTGATATGTTACAGCATGATCTGTGAGGGTTACTGTTTACCTGTTTTGCATAAAGTTGTGTTGGATTTTACTGGTGTTGATACATAATGTGACTGTGCTAATCAACGTTTTTTGTTATTGTCCAACAGTTGAACACTTAATAAGGAATAATATATTGAGACAGTACCAAAACTTTTTCAATTATTTTTATAATTCAGCTTAGCTCAAAATAAGAATAAAAGTACACTGTGAGGTCAGACCTACCTAGTTTAGTTGGCAATTGGAGGCACTAATTATTGTATTTTTGGTCTATGTTGCTAATTTATAACTGACTCGAAGGTGATGTCTCTTGCCCAATTTGAAATGCTGGCATAATGTTTATATCACTCATATGCATTTAAATGCTGTAATAATAGAAAATACAATATATCTGTAGCTAAAAGAGTGTGTTTCATCTTTGGTTTTACAAAATTTACCAGTTTTCTCACTCGGTTTGAACATTTTAAAGGCACTGAACCGTCACAGTCTTTCTGCCCCACAACTGGTAGTATTGGGCCACTTGCCCTTTCCCATTTTAAGTGAGGGGGGGAACTCCTGATGACTTCCAGTCTAGGAGGCTTGGGTAACTATGGATGCTTGTAGGTAGCTTCAGACTCCTTTGTGTGTGCTTCTAAGCTTTCAGGCCAGCTCTGGCTTGTGATTCTAGGCAGTCCTGAGTGTGTTAAAGGAAGTAGTGCAGGTATGTCTTCTCTCATCTGTGTAGGTTTTATTGTAAAATTGTATAGAATGAATATTTGTATAAAGGCATTACTTTTGAGTCTTGGAGAAACCATGGGCAATAGATGGACTGTCAAGGTAAGCATGCACTAAGGTCAACATAAGCCTACCAAAATGCAACAGAGAAGTTTATTAAATGTGAGGTGACACAGTATCTGTATGATTCAGATTGAAAATGGGTGCCTAAATCAAGCAGCAGGTGCAACTTATTTAGAAAGAGAAGAATATGTTTGAGCGGAGCCTTTAATTCTAAACCCTGAAGTCTTTAAAGGTGAAAAGTTATCTGTAATCTAGAGGTGCTTAGATTTGCATTCTGAAATTTCCTTGGCTCACAGTGCCTCTGAATGTGTGAAGAGCTGCTGCAGATCGTCCTACATGCTACTGTATTTTATCAAATTACCGTTGTGTGAAATACAAACATTTATGTGATATGAAGTAAACCCAGAACTAGCACTGCAGTAGTTACCTCCAAACTGGTAAACTGAAAATACAACACTGATACCCTATTCTTCTGCTGTTGATGTTCACTCAGGGAGCAGGCAATCCTGCAGGCAGACAGGCCTATCAATACCAAAGGTAATCAGATAAATTACTCCCTCATTCAGGGGACACTTGTCTGTTGTAGGTAACATCCATAATAGCCTTAAGGACAGGGCTCAGGTTCTCAAATTAGATCCGCTGTTATTAGGAGAACGTAGCAAAATTCTGCTGTATGCTTTACTAGAAAAGCTAGTGAACCTAAATATGTTATAAATTAAGGCCAACATATCTCAGTTTTTCTCACCAAAAATACTAACACTTGCATAAAACAGATACAGCATTTCAGTTTACTGAGCTTTGTAGGTGATAGCTATATTAAAGAAATATTTTCTGAACTTTCATTAGTTATTACAAAAATCAAGAAATGGTAACTTCATGCTTTTTCAAGCATGTAATTGACGAAGCTCAACATCAGAAAACAGATTAGTTAAATGTTTAATAATGTAAAGTGCAACATGTTTTTTAAAAACAAACAAAAGCCACATGTTTTAGGCTATTTTAAATAAAGACTTCTACAGCTGGAAATCCAGGACCGAGATGCCATGATGATAGTGTGGTGCATAGGCAGCATCCCACATGGTATGGCCGGCATGTTACTACCAGCTGTGATTGATACTGCAGTACCAAGATTTGATGACCTGCTAACAAGTTACCTGAAGCAAGTACAGTGATGATCTAAGTAATGTGATGTTACTGCTGCTACTGCTTCCCCTTTTACTAACACAACTTCCACTTTTCACAAGGAGAAAGTCCTCACTTGAGATCTTCAAGTAGTGGAGCAGAAAAAGTTTGTAATTCCCTCATTCCCTCCCCCCCCACACACGTTTTTTTTAAAGGGTTCCAAAGATCTCAGAAGATCCATATTGCAAATAAAAGTTCATGTGCTGTGGGCTTGATAACTCACATACACAATTTATTACTAATGGCAAAACCGAGGCAAAGAAACGAAGAATGTAAGTAAACAGACAAAACAATATCTGTCCTATCTCCCTCTCTTTACCTCACAGAGGACACTTGCACTTGAAAAGTTTACAATTTATTCCAGATACTATCATTTATATTACTATGTAGCTAATCCTGCTTCTTGGATCTGTTTTCATTTGCTTTCATGTAAGAAAGTCTTGTTTTTAACAAAATTACAGGTTGTAGATTTTGCTGAAACATTAACTACTTCAGGAAAAAAAAAAAAGTTATAATAGGGCATAGCACTTGATTCCAGTGTAATTATTATGTTAGACTGTTCAGATTTACAGGAGCTCTGACTATAAATTTATTAAGACGACATAAGTAGGTTAAAATTTTTCTCATCAATGTCAACTGGAACGGAAACTAGGTATAAGGCTGCTTGCGTTTTGGATCCTGAGCAATGTAAAGAGCAACACATTCTTCTTCTCTTTTCCAGAAGTACCTGGAAAAATAGCAAGAGAGATGATTGAATACCCACATAGAGGAGGTGGGGAGGACAAACAACTATCAAACCGAACAACTAAATACCTTGATGCTGCTGAAAAATAGAGGAATTGCAAACAGGTTCTCTTCTGACTACATTTGTTCTATTTCCATATAGGTATATCTTGCTATATTTTTCAGAACAGCTCTTCGTAATCATCCATATAAACCAAACATCATGACACAACGGGGAACATCTCTCTTCTTATGGATGTAGCAACAAGAAATTCTGATCTCAGTGATGTAAGGATTTAAACACAGTTATTATTTTAACAATATAAGCATCTAAGAATTCAGGAGTATTTTTGCTTTGTGGTCATCACCTTTGTATTAGGTGTTTATGCCAGTTTCAGAGATGGCCAGAGATCAGTATCAGTGTACAGCAGTGAAACGTACAATAATATGTGCCTGCTGTACAGGTCTGATAAATGCCTTAATCCAATATGATCTGTGATGGCAGATCTCTACACATGCATCATGCCAGGATTTTGTAAACAGTCTCATTGATTGACTGCAGGACTGGGAATTAATTTAAGAGAAGTGATTTCATAGAAGAGGTGGACACAACGGTGGAGGGAGGAGGGGATGAAGGTACTTGTTGGAATCACAGGTGCAGAGAACGGTTCTGTGCAGCTGGGCAGTTTCAGGTCTTTCAGTAACAGCTTCTGGTGTTATTTAGTGATTAGCAAACATCATCATTACTACTTATTACTTTTTTTTTTTTTTTTTTTTTTTTTTTTTTCCCTGTAGGAAAGAAGGCCATTTGTAATCATCTGCCTATAGTTTGCTGCATTGTATTACCAGTGGGTGTATGTAATCCTTCACGATGGGTACTTTATTGACCTGTGCCACTTTTCACAAGAGTTGGCAAATACTTTCCCTTTCCATTCTTCTGGAAACTATTTTCACCAGTTTTTCTTTTTACATATATTATGTGTACCATGTTTGTGAAACATCCTTATGCATCCTGCTCCAGGAAGAGAACTGTGCTCTTGGTCTGGCACCCAAATCTCACTGTATTGATGTTGATTAAGGCTTATCTGAAGTTTAGAGGATTTGCTGTTGCCATTTAGTATTAGTATTCTTGCCATCTACCTTTATGCATGGTCTTTTGTTTGCTGCCTTTTCTTGGTGTTTATCTTTTATTTTCCACAGCTTAATCATACAAGGTGAGCTAGAATGAATGCCTGGCTTTGTTTCCTCCAAAAGACACTTCTGCCCTAAGGAATAATGCAGGCTATTGCAAATCCTGCAATCACAGAAGCTATGTTTCTGCACCAGCTGATGCCCAGCTTGATATGGACCAAATAGACAGAATTTATGTTGTTGGAGTCTGGGAAATCATGCTATTGAATCGCTCATCTCTACTCACAAAGATTGGGCACGGACAAGCAGACTGTCACCAGCAGTTAGAGTCAGGGTTTTACCATCCATAGTAACTGTAGATGCACCCTCCTGAAGGGAAAGAAGAGACGGACAGCTTTTAGTTTTCCATGGCTTATCACCAGCAGAAAGAAAACGCTGCAGGTAAGTATGGAAATCTTTCCTACTGAAAGAACACTTCAAACAAAACACTGTTTTACAAGGCCTAGCTAAATATTCAGCTGATCTTCGCCATCTGACGCTATTAGCATCAATAAAAACATGCTTCATGGTTCGTTGTTCCTCATCATAAAGCAGCAACCTATTGCCTGATGCCTTAGGGATGTGCTGCTACCAATCTAACTGAGCAGTCTGCAAGTTGGTACAACTCTCTGGAAACTCACTGGGATAACCTGCTGGAGTACTTCAAGCTCCTCTTCTACTTTCCTGATTCCTAATACCTTTCTAAGTCTTGAAAAGAAGTTCACAAGTCAGCAGGGAGCTGACAGAAATCACTAATAGGCATCTGTCTACACTGGAACAGACTCATCATTATCTTGTCAAGCAGAGGAACCAGATTCCTGCCAGCAGCAAGGTCTTGATTGCACAGGCTGCAGTGAGCTGCAGTGTAAACAAGTGTCTTTCAAGAATATTATGTCTTTAATTAGTATTTGATAGTCCCTGTGAATTTCAACAGAACAGGAACTGATAGAAATACCTGCCTTACGAGCTAGTTTCCCTTGTGTAAAGGGAAACCAGCTTTTGTCTGCTGTTTTTCCCTTGGGCTGCAAGAGTTTCTTTGAAGCCAGGAGAAAGATGGGCATCTGGATCAACTACCGCTGTGCTTTAGCATAAAAATGTTTCTGGATTTTTATTAGCTTTGTCTACCTAATTCCAGCTGGAGTTCAGTATGAGGACAAAAACTTCAAGGCAAGAACTAATAGGTGACGGTTTTTATCACCCAGAGGCATTCTGATGTATTTGCAAGGTACTCCCTAGCAGGAATCAAAATCCCCACCTAGAACTGATAGAGGATGGCAGTAGTTCTGTTCTTAACATACAAAATGAGGGAAAAGAGGGATTATTTTTATGGTGGCAGTTGTTTACAGGATTTTTTTTTCATGATAGTTTAAAGCCAAATGATGATTCCTGTCAATGGCTTCTGTGAGAAGGAAGGTAATCATTAATTTTTGTTGTTGGTAGTAAGAGGCTTTAGAACTGTGCAGTTTGCTCTGAAATGTGAATTCATGGGTTAATATGGGTGAATTGTCACATACCAGCTGCCATATCCAGATATCTGAATTACTTTTACTTTTTTCAGTTGTTCCTGGTCCATAAGCTATAACCTAGAAAAAAAAGGAAGGAAAAGTAATGGATTCATCCCAGTGACTGAAGTGTACACATTCATCTTTCTACAGCATTTAAACATTCTATTTTTAAAGAAAAATGTTCACAGAGGATGACATTATTTTTACAGACATTAAAATTCACATTACGTTTGGTATTCTCATATTGATTCCTACTGATAAAAAGGGAACTGATCACACCTGCCACTCCTTATGCTCTTCTGCATCCTCACTTATCTACTCCTTCTGCCTCCTCCCACTCTCTGCTTTGCATCTATATCCTTCCTGCTTCTGTTCTTGGAACAGGCGCTTCTTCCTCATGAACTCAGGGCCCTGTCAAGAGTATGTTGAAGTCAAAAAGATACTTCCATTACCATTAAAAAGGCTGTAGACCAGACCTTATTTTTCTCATTATCTGCCCTTTTTGTGTTCTTCCTGACAGTCCCACGCTCTCTGTCACTCTGCTGTCAAACCGTATTGGATTCTTCAGAATACGACTCCAAGTAACCCAGGGAGAAAATATGTTTTGTAAACCATCGCGCATGCAGCACAGACATCACATGGTAACAGCTTCATTTACACTCAAGCTGGACTGTGTTTGACAAAGCTGAGAAGTGCAGTGCTCTAGCATGGCCCAGGCTCTCTGGGGCTGTCCAGGTCTTTGTTTCCATTTTATGTAGATTAAGAAGGAAAAAAAAAAGTGTATTTACACATTTGAATTAGATTTGGCACCAAGAGTGCTGTACAAACATATATGGAAGCTGAACACACTTGTGAGCAGTGATAGCATCTTGCTGGTATTTCTGATGTGGGAAATAAGGGGGCGGGGGAGCTGTTTTAATCTTAAAGGAAGTGAGTGGAAATAAGGTTCAGGTTGATTCTGCAAATAGAAGTATCTGAGACAGGAGTCCCCTGCCCTAGGCGCATTGGATCAGTGGCCAAAGGTGGGCATTTCCAAGGGGCAGGGCAGGCTATGACTGAATTGCTTTTTTAAGGGTGCATGATTTTCTCAGCAGATAGGGTTGCAAGGCCTGGATTCGTTCACTCTGAATATGAGGCACCTATTATCTGTACCTTTAAAAATCTCTTTCATAGAAATTAAACCACCTACCTCTGTTTCGAAGTTATCTCCAAAGATACTCAAAGATTGCTTCTGTTTTATTTCTCTGCGATGATCTTTCAACCAGCCTTGGAAGGAAAATGGCTCCATAACACAAGCGGAATTCAGTGGGAAAGGCGTTTCTTTCAGGAGTTCATCTGTAAATGCAGCAGAGGACTATCAGTGGCATTTCCCTTGAGCTTTGCAAACTTTTTACAGTTGCTTACAGCTTGAAGAGTTCGATTCACAGGCATTACCTAGGTAAAAGTCAATGACCATATAGCACCGTTTGCTATTACAGTTATCACGATGTAGCACTTGAGGTTAAGATGCGTCTTACTTGCCTGTCTTGGTGAAGTTGCTTCCCTGAAGCTGTTGTCAGAATTGTGCATCCAGGCTTCTTAAAAACATGTTCAAACAGTATGTGACAGACTAGATAGTCCTTCTGGACATGCTCTTTGCTCTCTTTCAGACCAGCCTGTGCCTTTGTAAAAACTGATGTATTGTTCCTGAGCCTTTTCTGAGCAACCCCTGGCACATCCCCATAGAATGAGAATGAGACCCCCTGAACCACCTTCCTCTCTTTTACGTAGTCAGTATTGGCCTTTGTGCTTCTTCTCCCCTGTGTGCTAAAAACACTGGCCACAATGAAGCAACCTGGTTATCACAACGCTAAATAGAATATAGAGGCTTTTCTTGTGGTGCTCCTGGATTTGTAGGTGGATTTAATTTCCAGTCATTCTCCTTCATAACTGATTTACTTTAAAATAGCTGGAGGACTGAATGCAGTTTCACTGTAGCTAGTAAAATTCAAAGCTTGTGCTCTGTGTTGCTGTGAGTTGGTAAATGACTAAAGTTAATTTTGTCTAGCAGTGAAGTTCAAAGACAGGGTAATCATCTTGGGGATCCTAGGTAGCTGGTTCAGAGAAGCCACAGGGGAATGCCTCTAGAACAATTTCATGTCAGGATGCCAACTAGATGAAGGAAAAACTCACCATATGTCTGTCTCCCAAAGGCATTGAGCTAATAAACTCACAGCCAAATTCTAGTTACAACCCAAGGAAGAGTAGGTTTTATCAAGTATTATGGTACTCCTTAGGCAGAATTCCTCTGGTTCTTTTCTAAAGCCACATTTCATGGCTCTGCAGTGTTCTGAAAGCATTACAGCAGTTTTTCATGGAAGGCCATTTCAAATGCAGGTTTTGAACAGTGTGAGAAGGTGGTCAGTGCATCCAGGGCTTGGCAGTATCCTGCATAAGCTGCTGCTATTTGATGGATCATAGTATGTACCAAATATCAACATTTATCTTCAGAAACTCTGGATGAGATGTTAACTCTTGTGGAAACAGGTTTTGTCATTAGAATAAATTCTCTTTAAAAAAAAAAAAAAAAGAAACTTTACATTAGATTTATTCTAATCTGGGCCTGGAAACATTAACAGGAGCTAGTCTAAACACCGTTTTATTGTTTTATGACACTACAAAGCAGCATTACGATCATTGCTTGGTGTTTTTTTTCACACTGCAATACTTCTGATTTTATTTCTCAGGTTCTTTGAACTTGCTTTGGAGGTATTTATAAACACTTGTAGACTTTGTCCTTAAATTATAGATACATCCAACTATAGCCATTGCAATTTATTTTTTTTTTTGGTTAGGGAGAGATACAAAATAAATATGTAAAATGTCATGATGATTCATAATCACACACAGAAGAAAAAAAATCAGGATATTTTATCAAAAGTTACTCAGAGCAATTAGGATTCGAATAGCTTTTAAAATATTTCAGTAATAGTAGCAATCTTCACTTTCTAAAGTAATATGAAGATAGAGATTTTTCTATTATCAGACTAAAACAGGTCACTTGAAATTAGAAAAGCCTTTTGTAATACAAGACAGGCGTTGGTAGGGCTTTAGTAAAAAAAAAATGATAGTATTTTGTAATACATATACATGTTTGTGTATATATGTATGTATAGACATTTTTCATCTCTTACTCTATCACATGCTGTATTTGCCTATATCTACATCTCTCTCTACATATATCTCTATATGTAGAGATATATATCTCTATATATCTCATATATCTATATCTCCCTACATCTCTCTCTCTTTCTTTCTGTATATGTATATATATATGTAGGGAGAGATGTATACACACACACCAAGATGCCATGACAATCCTGCTCAGCTCACGGGGTTACACCTTGTTCAAGAATTCCAGCATCAGGCCAACATCAGTTCTGGCTTCACATGCTGGAGAGTAGACAGGCACTGTGAAGTTTTCTGCAAGTAGAACTATAAATGCTTCCAATGATTTATAAGGAATTTGGGGTTAAAAAAAATAATAATAATAAAAAATCTGTTTGTGTTCTGAGCAAGAAGCAACACAAATCTAACAACAAAAATTAATTATCAATTTCTTAGTTGGTATCTTAACTTCTGTCACTTATTCATAGTAAGCATGATTTTGCTAGTTTTCCTCTTTCTAGTGATCAGCTCCTGATCAACAGGATACAGATGTCCCATTACACAGGGCTATAGGAAAGCAATCTTCTCATACTTAGGGTCAAGGCAGAGTGTAAACACAACCTGTGTTGTTTTTTTGTTGTTTGTTTTTGTTTTTTTAAGAGCCCACACATTGCAAGTAGAGCTTCATTTCAAGTGAAGCCCTGAAGAACTTTCAGTCAGTCTTCTGACATTTTCTTGTCAGTGGGCCCTAGTTTGTGATGGTGTTTGAGCTTATTCCTCAAAAATTCAGATGTGTTAACAATACTTGGCCAGTAGTAGGACTATGACTTCTGAAAACAGAATCTGGATGAAGTCAATGTTTGGTGTAAGCCATTATGATGATTCTCTTGCCTGTTATTCCAGAAAAAATAGGAGAGCACTGTGATGATGAAGTATATGACACGATGCATCTGACATTGTTAATGGCCTGCTTGACTGAGTCCTCATGTAAAGTCCTCATCTTCAGATTATCCCTTGAAGCTGAAAGCTGCATGTGCACTGATTCCTGTGAACTTGAGCTAATAAAATGCAATGAGGAGGATCCAGTACTTTGCAATCTCACATATATTGGGATTGAAGCCTGGTGCTTCCAAAGGAACTGAGTGTTTCTTATCAGCCCAATGACTTATATTTAGTTACTGTTGTATATATTTCTGCTTAGCCTGTATATTGGCTTTCAGTAGCAGGACATGTGAATTGGTGTGTTTCTGGATTTATTACTTCATATTAGATGTAGAGCTTAGGGATATGGTTTAGTGGGGACTGTTAGCATTAGGTCAGAGGTTGGACTCGATGATCTTGAGGTCTCTTCCAACCTAGAAATTCTGTGATTCTGTGATATTAACGCTGTGAAACAAGGAGACCTTAGTGATAATAAGGGTATTTTTATATAAAAATAAAATATGCTAGAAATAAAAAAAAAAATGCTAGAATTGACATCTTACGTTTTGCTAAGCTAGTCAGCTGAAAGCCTTGTGTATTTATCTCCAAGTGATGTATCACTAAGTGGAATATCAAATCTAATATGTTCCTACATGTTGTACTGTTCAGGAGATCCATTTAAATAGTTCAATAGTTAAGTCCATTTTTGGAGTTCATTACTATTAAATATTCATACCCCAGCAATGCGTTCTTTGTGGTTTTTATAGCTCTTTCCAGCTTTAAATTAGAATGTGATGATATCATGTTAAGCTGAAAAATACATCATGTTTACGGAATGAATTTATAAATATTTTAAAACAGAAAATTACAGTTTTCATTGGATGTTGATTTCAGTTAAACAATAGAGACTCTATTGAGACCGAGAATATGAAGTTGTGGGGAAAAAAAGAAAAGGACAGAGAGCATGCAAGAAAACTGCCGGTGCTCGTACAGCTTGTTCCAGTCTCAGCTTTCCAACATGTATGGTCCCAGGGTTTGTGAGCACAACCTTGACAGAGACAGTCTAAGGGAGAGCTGGGGACTTGCTGGGATTACTGTTTTTCTGATAGTAATAAAGAGGATTGCCACTGGCTACTGGGTAGATGTATGTGCACTTGCTTACCCCAGGCTTGCATACTACTTGGGGCTACTTGGGAGCTTTCCCCTACTCCAGTGATATACCTAAACTTTCTTGTCAAGCATCATCTCATTCTCCCAGAGTGTTTCTTAAGCTCTACTAACCCTGAGCCCTTATCATAGCTCTCTTGCGAACCTTGTTTTTTTAAGATTTGTTGCAAAGGAAAAAAAGCAATAAAGTCTATAAAATAAAATACATTGAAATAGTGTCAACTATGAAACTGATTACGTTGGCTTTATGAAAAACTGTATTTTTTCAGTGACATGCCATTCTTCACTTCTAGGCAGCACAGTCTAGATGGAAAAATCATTGACTCTTTAAATCACCTGGTATGTTCTTACTAATTGAGAAAGGCCCTCCATCCTGAGTGACGGTGCTGCCTTAGAAACAACCCATCTCTGCACACTGTGGGCCCATCTCTGAGCAAGGACACGAGAAATTCCCTTACAAATAGTGTCTCCTTCTGTAAAAGAGGTAGGCATCCTTATCCAAAGAGGAACACTTAGATCCTCTTTGTTTTGTTCTTATCCTTTAAAAAGCATAAAAATGGCCCATGATAGGGATAAGGAGTTATTTTAGAACTGTGTATTAATTTATTTTTATCTACTTTATAAGTATCCCTTCCATTTCTTAATACTATATTAAAATTAATAGTTCTGACATGACAGTTTTTCAGATTTTAATCTTAAATTGCCATTGGTGGCAATAATTTATACACTGGGATGTTATTCCCAACATGCCTACCTAATTCCTTTGAAAAGTCAGCTTCATTCTCAGTGCTAACAGAAATGTTGATAAGACTAGTAGGAGTTTAATAGCTCTGAAAATCAAATCAGTTAGAACCTGTGGACTGAGCATGTGGGCATAATTTTAGGCACCTGTGTTTAAAACAAACAAACAAAACAAACAAAAAAAACAACAAAAACAAACAAAAAAAAACAACAACAAAACAAACAAACAAACAAAAAAACATATAGTTAACTCATTCCATATAAAAATCCAGAATGAAAGCACTGATGATGACTGATTACATAGGAGGTTAGTTAGTTCATTTTGGTGTTGCTGAGTGTAGATGCAGAAAAATTTAGCT